AAATAAGTACTCTACGATAAAATTAGTTAACCAAAAGACAAGCGAAGGGGAGACCTCAGAATCAAATAGAATATTTCCAACAAGGTGGAATCAAAATTGTGTCATCAAGACTCAAACACATGCACACACAAACACACACACACGAAACACTTTTCCTACTGACAGTCCAATGTGTTGAAATCCCTACACTGAGCTGCATAACAATTTGACGGAATATATGCTCTGAGTGAGTAGTTCTGCATTTATTTCTAAGATGAAGGGAGGGATTTGAAAGAGGTTACTTCATTCACTTATCTACGGAACATTGTCTCAACTACACGAGGAACGAACGAGCATGTCAAATCGAGAGTCTGAAAGGCGAGAAACACATTCATCAACCTGAAACCAATCTGGAAATCTTCCACTGTCACTCAGCCTGCATCAACAACAAAATGATTCGGATTTGCAATACAAACGTCAAGTCAGTCCGTTCTTCTATACGGATGGATCAGAAACTTGGCGGTGGTTCACAAAGAATATTTCCAACAGTCTGTTGCAGACCTTTATCAATAACTGTCTTCGCTGGCTCTATACTGAGGATCAGATGGCCGGAAAGAACAAGAACCAACAAGAAAGTATAGGAACAAACAAACGAAACAAGAACCAATCACTCAACAAATATGCAGGAGAATGTGAAGGCGGATTGGAAACTCGCTGAGGAGGAGGCCACTGGGTGACATCGCGCGTGAGGCCAGTGCTCGATTGGAACCCGAAAGGGAGGCGGCGAGTGGTTCGTCAGCACAAGGGTGACGTGGAGGAGATCGTGTGAAGAGGAGTTGAAACAGTATGGATTAACATGGATGCAGGTGAAAAGTACAGCAGAAGACAGAGACAAGTGGAGACGTGCATTTGAAGCCCTATGTTCCACTAGGAACCCAAGGGAGCAATGATAATATAAATTAATAAATAAATAAATAATAATAATAATAATGGAGTTCGAACCCTGGTGTTATTGACTGAAAGTCGAGTGGTCAGTCTTACGAGTTACATTTTCACCGGTTAGAAAGTATGCACTGATTGCTTTTCCCCCTATTCATCTTAGATGTCCAGTTTGCTTTCTACTCGGAGATTGCAGTTAGATGACAAAGGAAAGTCGAGTTGTTTGCATCAGTTACATCATTTATGAGTAACATAACAATGAATACATGCAGGTATTCTTTTGAAAACAAATTTATTCCATCTAAACAAATTTAGATTATGTAGATCAGATTTCCGGAAGTAAATAATCATTTCTACTTATACTTCCTTACTCAATCAATTTTCATTATCATCATTTTCATTTCTTCTCCCTCCTCCCCCTCTTATTCTCTCTTTCCATCATATCCCACCTTCCCCTTACTCTCTTTTTGTTTTCTAAATCTGGGATGATAATTGTTTTCATTAAAAACCTTTCCTTCCTATTTGATTTTAAGCATTTTCGGATGTCTTGTAGATACAGAAAAAGTTTAATTTGTTTCCCTTGAATCCACTTATAGCCTTATAAATTCAAAAAAAATCGATATATATGTATATATATAACCAAACGTGGCTGGTATATATGTGTTTATTATATATGTCTATTTGTCGCTCTGCTGAGGAAATTATGCCAACATTTATATGATAAGCAAATGGTGGTACATTCGTTTAGTTAATAATAATAAAAAAAGAGATAATTCTATGCTTCTTAGTATACTTTGGAAATTGTATCCCGATTACAAATAATAAATGAACGCATAGTTGTTTAAATAATGATGAATAGAGAAAAAATAATAAGAATTCAGATTTCTTTAAGCATTGAAATGTGTTGACGCTGAATATTAATTACATGTTGAGAAATAATTTATTTAGGTGTACTTACTGGACAGCTGTTTCGTCAGCCTACTTTGGGACATTTCAGGAATACTCACCCACCACAGAAAGTTCAAACCCAGGACCCTCCAGCTACAAGGCGAGCTAGCTCGTAGACCATTAGGCCAATGGAACTTGATACAACGGCCAGTCCATGAATTCCAACTTTTGCCAATCCATGACATAGCGCGACCACTTCCCAGTGTGAGGCAGTAACTCATCGAAAAAGACATTGTGAAGGGGTCGCGGTATATCATGAATTGGCAGAAGTTAGAATCCATGAGCCATTGGATATGATCCTGTGGCTTAATGGTTTGCGAGTTCGCTAGCCTTGTAACCAGAAGACCCTGGGTTAGAACCGCCTGTGGTGGGTACGTACTGATGAAGAGTCCCAAAGTAGGTTGACGAAACAGCTGTTTAGTACATCTTTCAAGCTTTCCAATGGTTCTCTCACCGATGTCAGCTTATGATGAAATCCTCTAACCAATAAAAACGAAATCCCTACAAAACCAGTACTTGAAAATATTTTATCCTTATATTGCAGTGTTATATGGGATTGGATTGACAACCCAATGCATCGTTGAAAGTACAGTGTCGTTGATTATTTCACACACACAATCCACACGGAGATAGATTATGAGGGTGGTCTCTACACCACTGTTTGCCTGGATTATATTCTAAGAGAGAGAATCCTTACAGGACAATTTTTGTTTTCTATATATAAATAGAGGATCAACGTCCTTTACAGAAGCATTGAACAGCTGCTCCGTCCTAGTTTTGAATTCTTCAACAGTACGTAACCATGACTCCACCAGGGATTGAACCCAGGACTTTCAGATTTAGAGATGGTTCCGTTGTCCATTCGGTCACTGGGACAGAGTTCAATGATCCAGGAATTTTAACTTCTGTCATTTCACTAAATAGCCACCAGCCAGTGATATTAGTGGGTATTTGTTCTCGACCTGGTGAACCCTCTCGGTCATTCCAGACAACTTCATCGTGTAGTCAGTCTCTAGAGAGTGAATTGACAGAAGTTAGAATTCACAAGTCATTAGATTCCCTCCCAGTGACTGAATGATCAACAGACTAGCCTCATAATCTTAAGGTACTGGGTTCGATTCCCAGTTGGGTAATGGGTACGAACTGCTGAACAGTTTCAAACTAGGAGGGAATAGCTGTGCAGTACTCTCTAGTTTCCAGTGGTTCTCTAAATGGTATCAGTCTGTGATCAAACCTGAACGCAATCAAACCTCTGCAGTCTAATACTTGAAAATAAAATGGAGTATTCTCTATGACAACAATCAGCATAAATGGAAGGAACCTGAAAGAAACAACCTCCTTTACCTACCGACCTGGGAAGCATCGTTTCAAGTACAGGCGGACACTACTGACGAGGATATCAAAGCAAGAATCAGAAAAGCAAGACAATCTTGCACTACTCACGTCAAGTCTGTGTGGAGGTCAACTGCACTCAGCGTCAAAAATATGATCCGAATTTTCAACTCCAATGTGAAGTCAGTCAGTGCTACTATACGGATCAGAGACTTGCACTGCGAGTCATAAAGAGCATCTCAAACAAACTACACACCTTCATTAACAGTTTTCTTCGCTCAATACACCACTCAAGATCAGATGGCCGGCCAGACAAGATCAGCAACAGAGATCTTTGGCAATGAGCTAACCAACACAGCAGGAACCGACTGTGAAACAACACATAGGTAGGAAGAAATGGAGATGGATTGGCTGGCCATACTCTGAGGAAACAATACATCAAGTGAGTGACATCACTAGACAAGCCATTGCTCGAGTGGAACCCAACCGAAAGGGAGGCGGTGAGTTGGTCGTCAGTGAGAGGGTGGGTGACTTGGAGGAGGTGATGTGAAGAGGAGATGGAAACGTGTGGGCAGACTTGGAGCCAGGTGAAGACTCTAGCAGAGAACCGAACGCAATGGAGACGCATGGCTGAAGCCCCATGTTTCTCTAGGAATTAAAGGAAACAATAATATAATGATAATAATTCTCTATGACTAAGTTATTTGTTTATATTATTCCTTCTGATTTTTGTTTCACGAATTGACAAAAGTTGGTCATACCTGAGGGAAGATTTTTTTGGCTAAATTCAGGAGAGATTTCTAGAATCATCTTTTTTTAAAACAAGAAGTCTTGTTTGCTTGGGTCACTGAATCAGATTTGAAGACATTAGTTCAACAGTGTGTGTGACATGGAGTGTTGACACCACTATGCGGAGAATCGATAGTCTTTGCAAGTTGTCAGCCACTGGACTGAGATCCGATAGGTGAATTCTAGTATTCAAATGAGGTTCAGTGTAGACTGTTGAAGAGTCTTCAAGGAGATAAAATGTATGTTTAGTATATGCAGATGTATTTTAATGGTTTCCTAATTGATTAGACGTGGTATCTTATCTACCCTACAGTCGATTATACCATTAACATCATGAACCGTAAAAACAAAGTTGTACAATATTTGCTTAGGATATACCACGTTTAAAAACAATATGCAGTTAATAGGAATTTTAAAAAATTCTAGAAAATTCATTGATTGCACAAATCTACTCATAATTTGAGTAAAAGTGGCATATGCTACTATCATCCTATTACAAGTATTCTTAGACAAGTAGTTGTTACATTTCATCTACATATTCCTAGATGTGTGCGTCGCAAGGCACAGCCGTTATGACTCTCGCCAACCATGCACATAGTCCGGGGTTCGATCCCCTACCGACGCACATCTGATATCAGTTGCTCGGCCTGCAAAATTTAGGCTACCGATATCATAAGCTGAAAAAATTCCACACTTGTACCAATAATACGGTGTGGAATCAAGCTATAATAAAAAAGAAGCCTTGTTCATGGTGACTAACAATGCAATCCACAGTGTGTTTGTCGCCCTATTTTTAACTCATTAGTTGTGCATACCTTACATTCCAGTGACTGATGGTATTTGTTCAAACTGAAAACATTCTCTACATCATAATGCTGTCAACATAACTCTGAGGTAGAATATTGTCAGAAACTCACTCATGTTTTTATGTCATCATTATAATGCGTCACTTGTTGAATATATACACTAATAATTCATTTTCCGTATATATATTCCTACTTTTTTTTCTTTAGCATCAACATGAATTTGTCGCCTATCCAGAATTGTTAACCCTGTCAATTGATCAATTATGTGTGAGCATACTGAAAGGATTATCAACAGCAAATTCATTGATTCCGTACACCTTATCAATGCCAAAGGAATTTTGTAAGTCAGAGAAAAGTCAGCTAATGCATAATCAACTACACCCTGATGATATGATGGAGAAAACAGAAGAAAATAATCATGATGGTGAGTTTTCTCTGTCTTATTTGATGAATTGGTTGCTTCCCTTCCTCCTCTTCAGATGGCTATTTTCGTACACATAGATTAATCGGTGTATTTCCACCTATTTTTGTTATTTACCTAAGGGATTATAATTCGAAAATCGAGTATCATTTGTTACATATGTATATATATATGCGTCGGTGGCATAGTGGTTAGGACGCTCGCCGACCATGCCTATGGTCCGGGATTCTATCCCCGGCCGACGCATTCCTTCACCTCACTAAGCCAGAAATAAAGCTGGTGAAGAGGAAAGGTTAGGCATGAGGCTAGCAACCCCATCCTGTAAAAATAAACACTGCTACAGAAACTTCAAGTCTCTAGCTTGAAGCCCTATGTTCCACTGGGGAACGTGAAGGTATAAAAAAATATATATATTCCCTTACGTTCCCAGTGGAAAATAGGGCTTCAAGCTGGAGGCTTGAAGTTTTTTTCTAATAATAATAATAATAATTTACTTTATTCCAAAAACAGCACTTATAATACATAATGGAATTCTCAGCATTTGTCACAATATTGCATCTGATTTACTTAAATATATATAAAATTAAAAATTAAAACAAAATTAATCGGAGGAATTTGTCCACATTTACGACATAATTATTAGATATAATAATAATAATAATAATAATAATAATAATAATAATAATAATAATAATAATCAATACTAATAACAGTGAGTTTGTTTCAAACGGTATTGTCGATTCAGTTTGGAAACTTTAGCATGTTATAGATTATTGGGTCTAATGTTCTGTTGATATAGTATAGTGAGGGGAAATACAAAGTTAACAGTCATAATACAGCTTAAAATTATGTCCACACTTATGAAATAAAATAAACAAAACGAAAAAATTGAGAGGATTATAAATATAAGAAATACAATAACAATAAAGTATGATGCTTTAAGGTTGAAGGAAATGGTCTATTTAGTGGTGCTAAGAAGGTTAGTGAGTTCATTTCTAACACTATTTTCATCACATAAAGTACGTGCTAAATATGGTATAGTGGAATTTTTATACTTAGACGTACGTGCATAAATTCTTCTGAAAAGACTTTTTGTTTTACCTGAGGAGACCCAAGTTTCGGTAGCAGTGATGATTATTTTTACAGGTTGTTAGCTTCATGCCCAACCTTCCCTCCTAATCCGTCTTATTACTGGCTTAGTGAGGTAGAGAAGTGCGTCGTCCGGGGATCGAACCGCGGACCACGTGAGGCGTGGTTGACGAGCATTCTACCACTGTGCTTTGTTTCAGTACCCAAGTACAGCTGTTAATATATGTGTAAAACTTGAGCATTGTGGTAGTATGTAGTTCTATATTAATTTATCTATTATATATATCACACATCCTATGTCAGTGAAAATAAGAATGATGAAATGTTTAAGTAATAGGGCACAAAAACTAAGTGATTCCAAGGAAAATCTAAGACAGAAAGTGAGGCATATAAGCGAATCTTTGAAATTTAATAATTGCCTTGATAAATTAATCAGGAAGTGTGTAGGGAAATGCAAAGATAAAGTAAATAATAGTAGTGATAGTGATAATAAGAATAATATTAATGACGACATGCATGTCAAATATGCACAGAATAATGACGACATCAACAATAAGGAAAATAAATCATCAGAAGTACTCTCAATGCAGGAATCAAAGTGGCTGGCATTCAAACCCACAAACTCACTTAGAAACAAGCTTTGTCGGTTAAAGGATCCTGTATAGCCAATTAAACAAAACAATTTAGTTTGTCCAATACCCTGCTGGAATAATTGTCAGGTCAAACACACAGGTCAAAGTAGTAGAACAGTATCAATCAGACCAGCGGAGCACAAAAACCTAGCTGCAAAATCTAGATTAGTTGACCCGAATAAGATAAGAAATCTAGAGAATAGTTCAGCTATAGAACTCACTACGTGCAATTACACACAACCATACAATAGGATGTGATTAGATAACAGTTTTAAAATCTAATATCACAGGGTGGAGGGAGAGATTGATAACAGAAGCTTTGTTTATCGAATCAACTGCAAACATGTGTAATATAGGAATGATTCAACACCTGTCCCAGATATCTTGAAAGTTCTACTACTGCGACGACGGCAAATAGGAAAGAGTAAAGAAAACTATAAAAAGAAAGTTTCAAAGTTATGTGATTACAATTGATATGATTCTGAACAATAAATTGTTTTCGAAACATTGTCATCCAATAAATAATAATACTGTTTCACTGTGTGATATATCTAATAAACAAATTAATACGGAATTAAGTACAGCTGGTCTAAAAATTTCAGACAATTTTGTCTACAGCATGTCTGACTATTCAGCTGATGAGTTTCAGATAAGTCGAAATGCATAACATGCAAATTCTGTTGATGTACTCATCACTAATGAAAGATTATCATGAAGATACGATGGTTGATTAACTTTCTTCTTATTATTCTTATATACAGACAAGGGAGAGAGAAACAATCAATCCTACAGGAGATAAACATCTTAAAATTATTCTTCAACATCTTCAACAAAATTTGTGAATAAATTATCAATGGTTCAATGAACATGATTATTGAATTTTTTTCATATTCAAATTTCGCTCTGTAGATTAATTGTCATTTCAACTATTCGATGATAACTCGATGAGTCATGCGCATATCATCTCTAAATCTACATGTTGTTTGTAAATGCGTTTATTTGGTGTATGTATGTATATGCCTTGTGAATTTGGGAATCGGCTACAAGTGTGTGCGTATGTATGTGTGTATATATGTGTGTGTGGATATGCCTGTTGTCCTAGTTATAAAAGCGTTTAAAGGATATACATTATTATTTTAGCCTTAGGGGAATTGGCTCAGTGTAATGCATAAATTCACTGAAGTGTATGACCGAATTCACGTTTGTTTGTGTTTTTCTTGTATCGATTTCTTTCCATTTCTCGGGATATAGTGAAAAGTAATGGGGGGGGGGTTGTTTGGGTGGTTGGTTGTTTGTTTGTCCGAGATTCAAAGGAGCGGGGAGGGGGGCGGGAGTGAGAATATTCTAGAAACTTTTGTTTGTATTTTTAATTCAGTTGCAGTGTTGATGAAAATTAGTGGACAGGAGAAAATGATGAATTCCACGCCCGCCCCCTGCTCCCGTCATCACAATGAATTAGATGTCAAATGCAGCTTAGATACTGAATAATTACGAACTGATGAATGAATGAATTAAAGTTGATTATTTATTATTAGTATTTACTTCCTGTTTACTGAAAAACATAAATGGCTTATCAACATTTTCAACTATCCAGTTGGTCCGCATTCATTCTGTCTACTTTTACGGTAGAGTCTTTAAGGGTGTACGGGAATCAACAGGTTGCCTAGTTGTTGGAATTTATTAGCAAATTGTCAAAAAACTTCAAGAGAAATCCCTCTCCCACTCTCTCTCCCTTTCCTTCAAGGAGTCAGATTCGCCTTGAAGGTCTCCCGCTGATTTCATCATACTGTCTCAGTCATCTAGCCGACTACAGGTTTGCTATAATACAGTTAGTTGGGTTTCAGTTCCAGTTTGTGTCACCTAGCAACATACTGGATGACTATTCAGTTTTCAGGGTACAAAATTGGCTAGACTATTGTCTCCCTCCCCACCCCCACTCCTCTTTGCCGTCTCTATTTATCTCTTGTTAATTGTGAAATGAAATGACAATAAAAGCGGCATGACAGTTTTAGATTTTTATTTCTTCTTCTATTAATTTCTGTCTAAATAATGATTACAAAGTGCTATAAAAATGATTGAAGCCGCAGAATTAATCTATTTGAAAGGATATTTATAAAGCAGCATTTAAAACAAATTCATCTGGAATTCTATTTATGGTTGGGTATTTGTGGTTTTCTGTTAGAACCTTTGTTAGCGGACGTTTACATGTCTTATGTTGAAAACTTATCCTTTGATTTAATTTCTAAATTACCTTTCTATAAGCGATATGTAGACGATATCATTTTGATATGCGACGATCATGAAGATGCGAGTCGTCGTCGTCTATTAGACAGACTTAACTCTGTACAGAATCATATTAGTGTTATATGCGAGGAAGAAAGTCGCAGTCAGCTCGGATTTTTAGACATACTTCTGAGTCGAAGAGACGATGGCTCAATAAGACGGTCTATCTACAGAAAGCCCACTTGGACAGGGCAATACCTTAATTTTCACAGATTCTGTCCATTACAGTATAAGAGAGGCTTGGTGAAGTATCTATTTAAGAGGATTCAGCGTATTTGCACGGCTGATGCTATAGACAGAGAAAACGAAATATTGATGGATACTCTTGTTGAAAACGGATATCCTTTGAAATTTTTAAACAGGTGTAGAAGTAAATTAGTCCCTAAACCTACAGTCCATACCGCCCCTAAGAAAAATGTTTTCATCAAATTACCATATAACGGGGAAATCAAGAGTATGATTTTTAGACAAAGGTTGAATTCGATCATCCGTAGAAACTACTATGCTGCCCAGCTTGTAATTGTGGAAAAAGCTAAAAATATGCTTCACTGAAAAACCTCGAAAGTGCACAAGTGATTATATCACATCCCACACAATTTACCAATTTTCGTGTGTGTGTGGGGACATACGTACATAGTGAGGAGTAATCGCGCTTTGCACGTGAGGGTGGGAGAGCATATCCCAAAATGGTTAGAAAAACAGATGAATTGTGACAAGCCAATAGATGCAGGTGTCAGACTACCAACTTCGTCTATAGCTAAACATCTAATCGAAATGAACCATAAGGTTGATGTTAACTCAGCCTTTAAGGTCACCTATAAAACCGGTCAAGGGCGTTTACTGATATGCGCTGAGGCTATACCTATTCATAAACTTAAGCCCCCCTTATGTATTCAAAAACAGCTTGTTATTACTCTTAACCTACCTTGGTAATCCTTATTTGATTGAATTACCAAACGTTGTGTTAATCATTCTTAAATCTTTTTTTGTCACTTTGTTTAATTTAACTTTTCCATATATATTGACTTGACAAGTAAATGTGTGATCAGACTGTTCGAAATGTATAGCGCTAATACATCACATTTTTCAGATAATCTCTGTCTTCTAATAATGTTATCAAAATTTATAAAAGACTAACTGTTTTAAATATATATATATATGTATATATATATATATATACATATATATGTATATGTATATATATATATCTATACATATATATATATATATATATATATATATATATATAAATTTTGGACTAAACCGATTAGCGTCTTTTGGTGTGTTTATAGACTATTATAATGAATGCTTCAACGTTGAATTTGCTTTCATTTTAATGACAGTCTGCTTGATGGTGGTTTGCAGTAGATTCCAAGATGTGTATTTCGTCTTAATTGTAGTCCTGGTCATTGTTCAGAAGACGGGTTCTTTTTCCATTCACTACCCTAATTTTTATTTTAGGAATGATGTTTGTTAAGTTTCCGTCAAGACTGAGTTACTTATTTGCACACAGACATGAAAGTGCAACCAGTTGATGAGTCCTAAATGATACGAAACTTACTTTGGACTACTAGTCCCCAACAAGCACAATAACACCCTTTATATTTTTCCTTTGGTAGGTCAGTTAATATGCATTTCTTCATTGATGAATTCATGGGCTAGCCAGTGGCTTAATGGTCTACGAGTTAGCTCACCTGGTAACCAGAAGGTCCTAGTTTCGAACCACCTGTGATGGGTGCGTCCCAGACTAGAACGAAACAGCTTTCCAGTACTCCCTGTAAGTTTTCCAATGGTTCTCTAACTGATGTTCATCAACTGATGAAATCCTGTGAAATCATTCTATTATGGAGTACTGATATCTTACCTATATTTCTGATAATCTTCGTATGTTTAGCATGCGATTTGCCCCTGTAAAATGTAAGATGATGTTGCAGGATTGGACAACACCGACCCCTAGATTAGAAATAGGAAGTGAAAATGATAGAGCACGTTGACCGCTTCACTTACTTGGGAAGTATCATCAGTCCCAACGGGTTGATCTCTGACGAAATCTCAGCACGGATACAAAGGGCTAGTTTCGCATATGCCAGTTTACGCCGTCTCTGGCGTAGACGTGATATCCGACTATCGACCAAAGGACGTGTGTACTGCTCTGAAGTCCGCTCCTTCCTCCTTTATGGCTGTGAGACCTAGCCATTGAGAGCGGAAGACATGAAAAGACTAGCTGTCTTTGATCATAGGTGTCTGCGTTCTATCTCCCGCGTGAAGTGGTATAATAAGGTGAGCAATATTGGGGTTAGGCGTCGAGTGATAGGTAAGGAAGAGAAATTGTGAAGTTACATCGATCTGAGATAGTTAGGACATCGCCTTCCTCGACTGACGGGCAATGTTAACTGACATAGGTTCAGACTGGAAAAGAGCTAGTGGCAGTCAAACCAAAACATCGAACCAGTCAATGAAATCTACAACAGTTAGTCTAGGTCACGTAGGAAGGTGTAGACTTCGTGGTTGGGGTCCTCGGGACGGTAAAAACCAATGGTTGGAAACAATTGGTGACATGGCTCAAAATCGTTATCAATGGCTGGCGCAGATACATCCACTCCTTGTGACTTATGATTTCCCATCAAACTGTTTTGTTCTTCGTTATTACTATTCCTTTGTCTCACACCTCTGTTTACTGACTCTAATATGCATTTCTCCTACTTTCTTCTCTTGGTTTGTGTGCTACAAGGAGGGAGTGTGGCGACTTGAACTGGCGCACATATGTGCAAAGTTCTATGTCGAAAACAGACAGACAGACGGACATAATGGTTACAATTAAGAGTGTATAAAATGATGATCGTTAGCCTTGAAATTTCAATGAAAATATTATGAATCAGCGAGACTCAATTACTTCATATTGACACGTTTTATGAATCTAACGGAATGTATTTCATGCGTTTTCATTATCTAATCAGACTACATATTATACCAATGAGTCTTCATTCCTTTCGTGTTTCTGCAGTTCTGTTCAGCCTATAAAGTTAAAAAGAGTTTATTTTTCTTGTTAGGTCAATTATTTTAATACTTCTATTATTATTATTTTTTTATTCCTTCACGTTCCCAGTGGAACAAAGGAGGCTTCAAGCTAGAGACTTGAAGTTTCGGTAGCATTAGTGTTGATTTTCACGGGATGCGGTTGCTACCCTCATGTTCAACCTTCCCTCTTTACCAGTCTTACTACTGGCTTAGCGAGGTGAAGGAGTGCGTCGGCCGTGGATCGAAGCCCAGACAACCTATGTGGTTGACGAGCACTCTACCGCTGTGCCACCGGCGCACATTTCTATCAGAGTTTAATTTATAATTTACTGTCAAATTGAATTATTTTCATACTATCTATCCAAGTATACGGATCAGAGACTTGCACTGCGCGTCATAAAGAGCATCTCAAGCAAACTACACACCTTCATTAACAGCTGTCTTCGCTCAATACTTCGCTCAAGATCAGATGGCCGGCCAGAAAAGATCAGCAACAGAGATCTCTGGAAATGAGCGAACCAATCCAGCAGGAACCGATTGTGCAACAAATAGGCAGGAAGAAATGGAGATGGATTGGCTGGCCATACTCTGAGGAAACAATACATCAAGTGAGTGACATCACTAGACAAGCCATTGCTCGAGTGGAACCCGATCGAAAGGGAAGCGGCGAGTTGGTCGTCAGTGCGAGTGTGGGTGACTTGGAGGAGGTAATGTGAAGAGGAGATGAAAACGTGTGGGCAGACTTGGAGCCAGGTGAGAACGTTGGCAGAGAACCGAATGCAATGGAGGCGCACGGATGAAGCCATACGTTCCTCTAGGAATTAAAGGAAACAATAATAATAATTATTATATATGTAAAGGATTCACATTCATTCTTGGTTTATATTTTTACTGAAAATGGATTAATTGTGATTAATTGTGTTAATTAGTTAGTTGAATACTTACTGAGATATTTTCCCCCTTTTTAATGCCACCTTATTCATTGAAATTATTATTCCTGAATTCATCTTTGACTGATTTTACGGGACTGAAATTATCCTGTCTATGTAGACATGTTGACTCCTCGCACGGACGTTACAATGATGTCTTCAAGGTT